GTGTCTGTCATATCTTCCCCACAGCTAACGCCCGCTTTCTTCACAGAGATGGCAGAGACAAAGTCCAAGGCAGGGAAGAAACAGGTCCAGTTAGAGTACAGGGCCCGGCCTCACACAGGAAAGGTCTGGGTGAGTGCCCCAAGTGGGGAGGTCTGAGCCACTGCAAATGCAGCCTCCCTCCGCCCCCACTCCCTTTTATCCTCCGGACCTTGAAGAACACAGCTAAAAGGCTCGACTCAGAGGTCCCGAATGAAGGGAGAAGCTCCCAGACGTGGTTGTGCAGAATACATTGTCAGAGCGGGGCTAGGGGAGGGTGCCAATACATGGAGATGGGAGAGGGGTTCACAGAACTGCTACCAATGGTGAGACTCTGATAGGACAGGCAGCCTGGAAATGGAGGAGACAGGGACGGAACCAACCTGGGGCCTGTACTTACTATGTCTCCTTCAATTCCCTCCCATTCAAATAAACCCTACCTCAATTTTACAGGTGGGAACAGTCCCAGAGAGATTAAGCTAAGTACCTGAGGTCCCACAGCCAGAAGTGGCCTACTTCTGTGGCCTCTGGCACACGAGGGAGACCGGATTGGCAGCGGAGAGGGGATGAGGTTGGGGGGCCTGGGCTGAAGGAGTTTTGGACCACAGGCATGGCTTCATCGACTCTCTTGGGTCCTAGACTCCTTGGAGGGCTTAAACCGGGCTACAGCCTCTCCCCCCCGCAAATGCAAATACGTATGCATGATCACCATTGTGGGTCTAACTGAAAGGAGCGTATAGGCTCCAGAGGCGGGGAAATGAGAGGAAGGTCAGTTCAAGGACCAGGGTGGGCCAGGGTCATCTGAGGCAGGGCCAGGCCTGAGGGAGAGGGCAGTTCTGCCAGATGTGCTCCGGAACTAGGGGTGCCGCCAATGATTTCCCCAGAGTGATGGGAGGAGGAGCTGGAAGCTGCTGGCTGGCTGGAGAGCAACAGTGGAAACACTGAGAGGCCAGGGAGGGGCTGCCGCCCACCCATCCTGGCCCTCCCCACAGGCCCCCCGGCTAAGACATGCCATGGTCCCCACCCCTCGCGCAGGCCTGACTCATAGCTACTTTGCTGGAAGACCAGGCAGCAGTGGAAACCCCAAATTCCAAAGGACACCACACCCAGCCCCCTGGAGACCCATTTCCACTCCCCTGGATCCCCTGGCCCAGGTCCCCCAGTACCTGTCCTGAGGCTCGTGACCGGTTGTCATGGTGACGGCGTTCTCAGTTTTGTCTGGCCGATAGCTCCCTCCTCCTGGCGTCTGCTGGGGGCAGAAGCAGTGTGAGGCCACGTCTTGGCCCTGCTTCCCCATAGGCCTCTTTAGACTCTTGTGGGGTAGGCGGCAGGCAGGGTTCACAGAGCAGACAAGCCGGAGAGTCCATAAGGACCCCCTCCTGGCCCTGCCCCTGAGGACTGCTCAATCTGACCCCTCTGACCAGCCCTGTCGGGCCCCCTGCCTGCTCAGGCTCTACCTGGCTCCCGGCCTGGCCACCGCTATTTTTATCCAGCAGCTGAAGCAGTTTGTAAGCTGGGAAACAGGAGAGTGGCGGGCAGGAGAGGAGGAGGAGGAAGTATGAGGGAGAGGGAGGGAAAGACTGGCAAAGAAGGCAAGGAAGAGGATGAGAGCAGTCAGGGACAACGACAACAGACAACAAACGATAATGGAAGGAGCGACAGGAGGAGGGAAGCAGGAGTCAAAGCAAAGAGGGTGAGGGGAGGGAAGGGGAGGAGGGAGGGCACAAAACAAACAGATACGCAGCAACAGCAGCAGCAGCAGCAGCAGCAAGAGCCACAGGGAAGAGGACAGAAGCCAGGCCAGAGATGCCAGAGATGCCTCCCCCACACCAGGCCCCTCTCTGCAGGTCTGACCTTCACACCCTCTGGGGGAGCCCCTGCGCTCACAGCAGGAGTGGGCTCTGGAGGGCCTGCGCCCTGCTGGAGGCACCCCGGACTCCAGCCTCTCTGCTGGCAGCCCTTGAACCTTCCTTTCCAGTCACTGCCCAGGGGCTTCCTAGTTCCTGGCCAGTTTTCTAGGAAAATACTTCACCATGCATGTGGGGACACAGCCCTTCCCACAACCACCCTGGCCCCTCCCCGATGCCCAGTCCTGTCCCCAGGGTTACCCCATCCCCCCTCGGTTCCTCTTTGACTCACTCCCAGGTCCCTATCCTCTTCCCCTTTCAGAGAGCAAACTTGAAAGGAAGACTGGGGGAGCAGGGACACAGGCCCGAGTGACCACATTGTCCCAAAGCTCCTAGCCCACCCCCTCACGATCCCCCTCCCGCTTCCCGCTCGTGCAGGGCAGGCGCCCTGGCACCAGATCAGACAGCTTTCCCTTTGGATGGCAAGGAAAGCCAGGCAGGCGTGTGCTGGCACGTCCCCCACGTGCAGGCCCAGCTCTGGAGCCAGGTCTGCTGTTTGGGGTGAGGACCCGGGCCTGGGCTAGGGCGAGCACTCACCGGATGCCCAGACTTGCCAGCAGAAGGGTCAGAGCAGAGGGGGCCTGGGCAGTCCCTGGGAAGTGGTCCTAGCTCAGGCTCTGGCGGCAGGCCTTGTCCATGGGCGCCCCCTGGGTAAGGGTCCAGAATGAAGAAAGTGGCACAGGGCATATGGGGAGAGAACCCCCCAGGCCTTGCCATGGGAGTTCTGGTACCCTGGGCCCCATTCTGAGAAGCCTCTCACACACACACAAAACCAGGAGATAAAAACTGCTCCTGTAGCTAGCTTGGGAGATAAGAAACCCAGCAGTCTAAGTAGGGGAGCTGGGGGTGGGGGGCGGGGGGGAGAAATCCCAGGTACAGCCAGTTCCCAGCCTGAGACAGACAGATACCGACAAATAGTTACTTCCAGGGACCCTGAAATCTTCAACCAGCTTTTCTATCCCTCCTGTTACTGCTCTCAACCCCTCCGTGGGTGAACTCCAGACTCTCCCAAGGCCTTCCTTAGCGCCCGCACCCCTGTGTTGTAGAACAGGGACAGGAGGAGCAGACCCACACACCTCCCAGATGGGAGGCAGAGGTCTTCTTTTATTCATTTTCTCAACAAATATTTACTGAGGACCTCTGCATGCTCTCCAGGCACTGTTCTAGGCAGTGGGGACAGAGCGGTGAACAACACTGTTCATGTTTCCAAGAGGGATGGGGGCAAGAGGGCTCCACCCTGGAGGGTGGGGAGAGAAGGCTCAGGACTCAGATTTTCTATTAGGTAGCAAGGAGGGGAACCCCCAGCTTCACACCTCAGCACACCCCATGCTCCACCTCCCCACCCCCACAGGTAAGATTCCTGGCAGTAAAGAACTGGGAGGTGGGGTGGAGAGAATAGAGTATCTCCCCTTCCTTAGTAAAATCTGCCTTAGGCTCAGAGAAGTATTCATTTCTGTCCTCTCCCCCCCAGCTGTGCTCCCATCCTGCCCACATCGTAACAGTCAGCTGGCCAGCCCAGGTGTTTTGTTCTTGCCTGCCTTTGCCCAGCAGCAACCAGGGATTTGACACCAGCTCAGCATCTGGTGTCCCTCCAGCCACGCCCTGGCCTGCCAGGATGGAGTTCTGAAAGCAGTCACGGAACTGAGCACGTCCCCTCCTTTTATACCTATCTCTGCCCCCCTCCAGACCCCCAGTGCCTCTCATGCACCCCAGCTTCCAGACACATCCTTGCAGTAGCATCATATTCTCTCCTCCCATGGAGTTGCATATGGGGCCAGCCACTACCTGCCCTCACAACCACCCCTAAGCTAGCACTAATCTCTCTCCATTGAACAGATGGGGGAGGCTGAGGTTCAGAGCGGTTGAGTCACTTGCCTAAGGTCACAGAGCTAGTGAACAGGTGAGCTGGAATTCAAAGTCAATGTGCAGCTCATCCTAGCCTCCTTCTGGGGCCAGGAGGTAGGTATAAAGGCTGCTTCTCAGCTAGCCCTTTAAATTGGGACATGCGGGGGCGGGGGGGGGGGGGGGGGGCGGGCGGCATCTCCAGCCTGACAGGAGCCTCAGGTGTAAGGCAACCCCCCTCCAATTACACACACATCCTGGCACCGAGAGCTCAACAGGCAGAAGGACAAGTGGGAGGTTACCGCGAGGAGTGGGCAAAGGGGCCGCCCCAAGAAGGCTGAAGGGCTGGGATCAGCCCTCACCCAGGCTGCTCTCCGCCCCCCCCCCCCCCCCGCGGACGGAAACCCGCGGTGTGTGTCCCTGTCCTTTCTAAGATAAGGAAGGGTCCTCTCAGGGAGTAAATAAGGACGTGCCCAGGAAGGGGAGGCCAGGAACGTGAATTCGGCCAATAAAAGGCAGAGGTTAAAGAGACAGCTCCTTCACCTCCAAAGCAGCACGCGCCCTGCCCTCATCCCCATTCCCACCCCCACCCCTCCCAACACAGTTACCGGCGCGGCTCCTCTCCTATACCAACTAGACTGATCGAGATTACCCATCGACTCGCCCGCCCCTTGCGGAGGTCAGTTCGGCGACAGCCGGTTTCAGGCCCAGGAACCAGGCGGCCCACGCTCCGCTCGGGTCGCGATCTCCTCAGAGTCCCCACGCGCCCTGGCCCTTGCGCGCCACGTGCAGCGCGGCTCCGCACGCTCCACGCCGGGGAAGCGGGGCCCCCACCCGGCGTCCCCTCTGCGCGCCGCGCAGCTGCCAGGCCCAGCCTCCCTGCCCGCGTGGCGGCGGGAAGAGACGCCTCCCGCCCCGGCGGTGCCCGGCTCCCCCCTATCCCGGGCCCCCGGCCGGAGAAGCACCTGCTAGCTAGAAAGGAGTCCTACCGCGCCGAGATCCGCGCGCCCTCTCAGTAGCTTCCCGCGCCCGCGGCGGCACATTGAAACCCGCCCTCCGCTGGGCCCGCCCCGGCCCACGTCCGCAGCCGCAGCCCGCCCCCCCTCCGCCCTCGCCGCCGCGGCCCCGCCCCAGCTCCCCCACCCCAGCAGCTCGGGACGTGAGCCTCGCCCCCCACCCCCTTTCTCGCCCAGCTGCGCCCAGCCGGGGCTGCATGGCCCATACCTCGAGCTATTTCTGAAGATGGGACCTGTGGGCCCTGCTACACCAAACCCTGCCCCGTTATGAAGCACCCGGGGCCGGAGAACACAGCCCCACGCTGGGTACCCCTAGTCTCCTCCGCGCTGCCGCTCCAGAAACTCCTACAGAACCCGCGTCCGGACGCTCCTTGCAGCAAACCTTCGGCTCAGACCCGTCCGGACGCCTTCACGTCCATACTCCATCCCAGATGTTCCGGTATAACTCCCCGAACCCCTCCCACGCCACTTTCTCCTACACTGCACTTTTTTCCTTTTCTGCGCGGGCCTCTTCCCTTCTCAGTGCCACTTTCTTCCTTTCCTTTGCTCCCCCAGCCCCCATGCCAGAGGGATCCCTCTGCATAATCAGTATAATCAGTGACCTGAATGGTGGGTTTTCCCACCTCTAACACACAGACCCGAACACCCACACACAAACACTATACCACTGTGTGGTGATAAGGAGGGGGATGTGTGTCTCTGTGGGGGTTGCGGGGGGGAAAGGGTAGTGGCATAGGTCTGTAGGCCCCTCGAGGTTCACTTTTTCTAAATCCAGAACTTTGGAAACGCTGAGGAACAGTTGGAGATGGTAAGAGAAAAAGCCCAGAATAGCCTTACATCCTGCGTGAATCCTATGGCCCCGATACTGAGAGGCGGAGGAAGGGGGTGGGCATGCTGGGTGGTCAGTCCTTCTTGTACCTCCAAGGGAGGCGGAATGATTCTCTCCCATTTTGCTGGTCAGCAAATTTGGGGGAAGGAGAATACGGCCCCTATAGCTGCCCTCAGTGCTGGAGGACAATCTGAAGACTCGAGAGGTGTGAAGACAGAAAATCCAGTCCAGCATACCCCACCCTCCTCAACTACCCAAGAGACTCATCCCCTGAAGAAGTTTTGGACACTAATTAACAATTAGCGTATTACCATCATTAGAATAAGGTAGAGTCACCTTCTTGCCAGGGAACAGACTGGGCCCTGAGAGGAGGGGTAGCTTTTCTACTTAGGATCAGTGACCTGTCCCCAAGCTACTCCAGAAGGAATGTTCTCAGCCTCCTGGCTCTGTGCCTCACAGAGACATAACACACCATCATCCCCCAGCCTTAACCAAACAGAGGGCAGGAAGATGGGTAGGGTGGTATTTTTTTAGGCACTGCCCCACGGCTTGAGGGCAGCTTCATGTCTGGGTCTACCCACCCCCATTCCCATCCTGTGTTTGTCCAGTCTCTCGCTCTTCCTCTCCCAGCCCTCCTCTCCCCTCTTCCTTGGCCCCTGTCTCTCTCCCACCTTCATTTCCCATCTTTGGGCCTGTGGGGGTGTCAGGCCTCAGTGGTCAGACAGATCCTCCAGGCATGGCCAGGCTGGTAGCCAGTGGCTGGAGTTGTGTGCAGAGGGGGCTGGAAGTGGAAAGAAACTGGAGGGAAGTGGTGAGGGTCCCAGGCCAGACAGTGGAAGGCTGTTTCCTCTCCCCACCCCCGCTGAGGCCTGGCCTGCTCACTAGATGGCAACAGCCAGGGCTGTTATTGCTGGAGAGAAGCCCATCTGGCAATCACCCTGCCTGGGCCCCCAGCCAGCATCCACGCCCCTTCGGAGCTACTTCCCTGGCCAGAGATGGTTGCTGGGTGCCAGGGCCCTCTGCTGGACATCCTCAGGGCCCCAACTCACACCGGTCAGTACTGGGAGTTTTTCTGGTCAGGCCCAGCCAGTCCTGTCTCCTTCTGCCCAGGCTTAGGGCTTTCTCCCTCCCTGAGTTCCCTCAGGTCACTGGCACAGAAGTAGGGTAGGAAGGGCTGAGTCAGCTGCACCCCCACCCCCACCCTATACTCCACTCTAGTTGAGACCGTCCGTAGCTCCAGACTCCATCCTCCCATTCCAGGCCCCAAGCCTGCCCCACTATCTCACACACAGCCCTCTTTTCCCCAGCCCTGTGTCCATCTGTGTTTGCTGGAAGTGTGTTTGCTTGGCTTGGCTATTTGTCACCAGCACCTGTCTCATGACTGTGCGTTCTCAGTTGTTGTTTGTGACTCTCTGTCCCTGCCCTTGTGGCAGGGTTGGGACTAGAGAGAGGCCAATGAGGCATTTGACTGCAAATTTTAAGGGACTTGACTCCAAAAAAATTCAGTAATCAAGATAAATAATATTTTACTGTAGTCTTTAAAAAAAAATCAAAGTTAATGCAAAAAAACCTATGATGAACCAAACATCAACATTTAAAATACAGGAGCTCCTGGGTGGCTCAGTGGGTTAAGCGTCTACCTTCAGCTCAGGTCATGATCTCCTGGTTGGTGGGTTTGAGCCCTACCACTGGCTCTCTGCTGTCCGGGGGGAGCCCTCTTCAGATCCTCTGTACCCCTCTCTCTCTGCCCCTACCCCCCACAAAAAATAAATAAAAACTTAAACAAACAAACAAACAAACATTTAAGATACAGAATCCAGCCCTCTCACTTCCCTCGCCTTCCTAGTGGGTGTGTGTACTCCAGGATGGGAACGAGGGTCAGGGTTTAAGATTTGAGGTTCACTAGGTCTGGGTTTGGTCGTCTCAGACTAATTTCTCGGGCCTCTCCCCCTACCCTTTGCTCTGGGCAGGTCTCTGACCTTGGGGGAATCTGTATACGGTTAGGGCGGCAGGGGTGGGGAGAAAGAGTCGTGGGGGGGGGGGGGGGAGGGTGGCCTTCCAAGTCTGATTAAAGGCCCCTGTAACCGGAAACCGCAGATTCCGACACGGTTGATATCCCCCAACTAGGGCCGCACCAGCACCTGTCCCTGCCTTGGCGGCGCGGCGCGTGGGAACCGCGCAGACCCCGCCCCACTGCGCTGGAGGCCCGCCTCCGCTCCCCGCAGTCCTGCCGGTTGGGAGCCGGAGGGCGGGGTGGGGGGGGGGTGGGGGTGGGGAGGACGGAAATCCCCCGGCCCGGGTCCCCCTCGTGGCCTCCTTACTTCGGGGCTGGGGCCGTGGCCGTAGCTCGCGGCCCGCGCCGGGCGGGAGACGGGCTGCAATGGGCTACCCCGGCGGCTTACCGCCCCGCACTCCGCGGCCTGCTCCGTCCCTCCTCGCGCCGCGCCACTCCGCCACTCCGGGGCGAACGAGGCCGGCCGCAGGGAAGGCCGGGAGCAGACGAGAGAAAAGGTGCCCGTGACCCCAGAGGGGAACGAGGTTAGGGGACCACGGGCTGAAGCCCCCTTCCCCCAGGTCGCCTTCCCGAGAGGGGCGAGCACGTGCTCTGATTTTGAGGGCGCCAAGAGGAAGCAGATGGTGCCGAAAGGGGTGGGGAGGCGGGGGTCTGGCGGAAGGTCCCGCGGGGCTGGAGTGGGGGCGCACAGCTCTGGCGTCACTTCTTCCCAGGGGCCGAACTTCAGAGTGGTGTGGGGACCGTATGGGGATCCTGAGAGGGGCCCGCATCCCTCACTATCGCCCCCCCCCCCCAACCTAGAGCCTAAGACTCGCGGAGGGAGGGAGGTGGGAGGGAGGACTGTTGCTTGGGAACAATAAGCAAATTACCCGGAGGCTGAAAGCAAATGAATCGGACACCCCTGATCTGACCCCTTAGGGGCTGCTCTTTGGGGAGGAGGAAATAATGAGGTGAATGCCCATGGTCACCTCCACCCCCAACCGCCCAGATCTCTTAAAAGGCACAGTGCCCCTCAGGGGAAGCATTTTTGCTCTGCTCCCCTGGGTGGCTGCCGGCAGGGCCCCTTAGCAAACAAATCTCCCTCTTCCCACGCCGCTAGGTGAGCAGTCTCGGACCTGGCCCCAGGAAGTTTTCCTTCTTACCTTGAGCTGGCCGGCCAGACCTCTAAATCGGACCCAGGACTGCTGGGTCACGGGGTGACATACTGAAGTTACGCAAGAGAAACGATCTCCAGGAGATGAGGACTGCAGGACAATGGAATAGGAAGCAAAAGGGAGCCGGGAGTGGTTTTCCCCCTCCCACCCCCTGGCCACGTTAGACTGTTTTTCAGTGTAGGAGCATGGGTGACACAATTTTCAATGGTATCCCACGAATTCAAATGAGCAGATATTTATTGAGCAACTGCTGCGTGCTGGGCTTTGGGGCAAGACTGACCAAATCAAGGTTCTATTATTTGAAGGAAAATCCTGAGTCTGAAGGACAGACTGTCTGGGTTAAAATCTCCCCTCTCAGATAAGTTGTCAGTTATCCATGGGTGAGGACTGTCCCTCACTGGAACTCAGGTTCCCATTTGTCCGGGATGGGGGTGGGGGAGCAGAGTCACTCCCTTCATCCCCCTCCCTTCCCTTCCCAGCCCAGATGCGATTAGGAAAGGTGTCTTGGAAGGAGGAGTGCAGGGTTGCGAAAGATCAGTTTTCTGCTAGATGCTGGGTATCCTTCCAGTCATTCCTGTTGGGAGTGGGGAGGCATTCCTGGTCAGACCCCTCTTTGTGCTCAGTCCCCCACCGCGTCTTCTGCACAGTGGGTAGGCTGTGCTCAGTGGTGGTGCCAGGACTGTCTTGCTCCAAAAGAATGGCTTTTGATGACACAGCCAATATCAGGGATCGCAGCCTCATTTTGGGGGAGCTAGCCTCTCCCTCCTCTCCTGGCCAGCCACTCTGGAGACCTCCTCAGCGTCGGGCGGGCGGCTCTGGCTGAGGATGAACAACAGACAGCCCAGCAAAGCTTCTCGAACATCCTGCGAGCCCAGGCGGCGGGCCAGTCGGCGCAGGAGGGGCAGGAGGTGCCGGCGGGCCAGGCGGGTGGCAGGCAGCAGCAAGCGGGACATCAGGGTTCGAAGCAGCAGTGGGAGCAGTGGAGCGGGCATGGCTGGGTCAGCGACTGCGAAAGCAATCCAGACTCTAAGCTTGCCCCTTTCCTGCTCCCTCCTCACCTGGCAAAAACTGGGGTGGGCAGGTGTCCCCCCACTCCAGTGTATACCCTCATGCTCCCCCCACTTCAATTCCTGGGCCATTTTTGCTTCCCAGAAGCCCTTTCTCTTGGCAAGGTAGCTGGGGCAGGAAGGTTCTTACCACAGTGCAGATGGAGACATTGAACCAAGGCAAGAGCAAAACTGAGGCTAGGACCGGCAATTTGCCCTTCCCAGTCTCCAAGGGCTCCTCTAGTTCCCTAGACACACACACACACACACACACACACACACACACACACACCCCAGTCAGTTCCACCCCTCCTCAAGCACATCCTCAGTCTCAACCCTGCAGGAGTTCTTCCCTAGGCAATTGTAAATTTTCCTCCGAGGCCCCTTGATCCACCCAGACCTGACACTTCCTACCTTCCCAATCCCCCCCAACCCCACCGGGCAGCAGCTCTCACCAGTCAGAACTGTTGCTCAGAATCAGTCTCTGGCTGAATTTGCCTGCAGGGGCACAGCCTCCCTGGACCCTACACGGCGGCCCCACCCAGTTCAGCCCCACCCTAGGACCGCTTGCCTGGGTGGGGGGATTAACGAAGAGACAGCTGTGTTCTGGCACCTGGTATGTTGAGGGCAGGGGGCAGCTGGCTCGGAAGAAGTAGAAGGAGCACATGCAGGAATTTTTCCTGCTGGGTGTAGACTTCAGAGTTGGAACCCAGACTGTGCTTTCTAAGGGTGTGACTGTCGGCGCATTGATTTTTCTGGTCTCTAGTCCCCTCCACTGTTGTCTCAGGAACTGGGAGTACCTGGAATGGAACGATGTAAGAGACCCATTTGCCCAAACCTCAGAAGTGGGAAGGCTGCAGCCCAGACACGCCAGGCATGCTATAGCAGGGAGTGACCGAAACAGGGAGAACAGGACGGCAGGACGTGGGCGAGCACCGGGGGTAGAGGAGTGAGGTCACAGTCCATCTGACAGTTGGACACAGCTCGGTGACACTCCCACCCACTTTAGGACCCTCTTCACTCACTTTTGCCCAAGATGAAATGAAGTTTCATGAGCTAGCGAAATACAGACACAACCTGGGTTTGTTTTGTTTTTGAATACCACATCCTCCTACTTCATAAAATGGGTACACGTTTTGCCTTTCTGGACCCAGAAGAGATAATGGCCACGAAAGCATTTTGTAAACTTCACAGCTTTGGGAACAGTTATCGTCATTCCATCACCAGCCTCCATTAGCATCATCACCATCTCTAAAACCACCGAAGGCCTTGAAGAAAGAAAACCTCAAGGTCAGAAAGGCCCTCCCACTTCTGCCTGGAGGAAGCAGGGAGAGGAGCTGGAGTTCAGGTTTATGGTTCAGTCTTCCTCTCCTTCCAGTTGCTGCCTGAGGAGATGTGCTGGTCATGTGTCATCCTTGGGCCATGGGCCGACACATGTGCCAATCCTGTGAGCTCATGACCTCACTCACTTCTTACTGCCGTTATCTGGAGGCTGATTTTAGACAAACAGGCTTGAGCAATGGCATGCAGAAAAGGGCCACAGTGAGGGGCACCTGGGTGGCTCAGTCGATCAAGCATCCAACTCCTGGTCAAGTCACGGTCTCATGGTTGGTGAGTTCGAGCCCCACGTGGGGCTCCACACTGAGCGTGCAGAGCCTGCTTGAGATTCTCTCCTTCTCTCTCTGCACCCCTCCCTGCCCCAAATAAATAAATAAACTTAAAACAAAACAAAAGGGCCACAGCGACCACTTGGCTGAATACAGACAGGTCTATCAGGCCACCCACCCTGAAATATCCATAGGCCCTAACTGACTCATAACAACTAGGCACAGGTACCAAAAAAGGGAAAACTCCTTGTCACCATACCTCCTCACTTTCCCTCCTTAAAAGCGGCCCCCTCCCACTGCCTTGTTGTAGATAGCCCCTCTTCTGCTGTCCAGCCAGATGCTCCCTTGCGGTGTGTTCACTAAACTTCTCTCCCCTTCGTTCTGCCTCAGGTGAGTTATTTCACTGCCTGCACCACCGGCTTCCACCCAATCATCACTCCACATTTGGGGGCCTCCGTCTGATCAAGAGACACCCCATTTAGGCACCACACACTCTGCAGGAGAGCTATTATAACCATTGTACAGATGAAGAAACCGAGGTTCAGAGTGGTTCACTTAGCCAGAGTCCTACCACAGATAAATGGCCTGATCTCCCCCCAAACCTGCCCCTCCTTCAGGCTTGCCCATCCCTGTAAGTGACAAATGCAACTTTCTAGTTCCTCTGGCCGAAATCTTGGACGTTATCTTGACTTCTCTCTTCCTGTCACAGTTCACTACCCATATTAGTAAATTCTGGCACCTCTACTTTCAAAATATCCAGAATCTCACCACCTCTCACTGATGTCACCATGACTACCCTTATCTGAGCATTCATCATTTCTCACCTGAATTACTGCAGTCGCCTCCTAACTGGTGGTTCCTGCTTCTCTTTTCCACACAGTGACCAGGAAGATTTTTATGAAATATGGCTCAGGGGTGCGTGGGTGGCCCAGCTGGTTAAGCATCCAACTCTTGATCTCAGCTTAGGTCTTGATCTCAGAGTCATGGGTGCAAGCCCTGCATGGGCTTTGCGCTGTTTTAAGTACATTTGTGCTTGAAACGAAACAAAAAAAACCCCATAAATCAGATCCTGTCTTCTTTCTGCACAAACAGTCCAGTGGCTCCCATCTCAGAGTTAAAGCCAAAGGCTTTAATTGCAACCTACAAAGCCTTGGGTGGTCTGACCTCACCTAACTTCCTGACTCAACTTCTATCCTTGTTTCTCTCATTCTGCTCCAGCCACACTGGCCTCCTTGCTGCTTCTTAACTGTGCCAGATACGGTTCTGCCTCAGGCCCTTTGCACCCACTCTTCTCCTTCCCACAAGGCTCTTTCTCCAGGTATCCACATGGGGCTCTAGCTCACTTCTTTCAAGTTTTTGCCCATATGGCACCTATCCATCCTGTTTAAAATTACACCCCTTTCATCCCATCTCCTCTGTCCCCTCTCCATCCAAATCTCTGTTTTACTTGTCTCCACAGCAAATCATTTTCTGACCTGCTATATATTTTATTTTACTTCCTTATCTTACTGATTATCTGCTGCCCCCCACCCCCACCCCAGAGAACGTAGGGACTTACATCTGTTTTGTCTGCTGGTGGTCCCCAGTGCTTGGCAATAAACTTTCAATGTAAAGAATGAATCAGTGAAGGTTCTGTGATGGGTCCCAAACTCAGACCTGCTTGTCCAGAGCCTGTGCTGCTGAGCCCCAGAGCTCCTTTGATCTGCATACACTCTTAGGATGTGAGACCCTGTTTGCCATGGAAGCTGGAGAGAGCCTTTCAGAGAGGCGAACCAGTCACATGAACCCAAGGGAAAGGAGTCAGACCTGATGGTTCCCTCTGGGAACCTTCGAAGTATGCAATTTTGAGGGAACCATGAGTCCCAACCAAGCACTGACCCGCATAAGCAGAAATTGATGACCTCAAGTAAGTCACACTTCCCCTCCAACCTCAGTTGCTACAGCTGTGAGATCCTTGGACCTTGGACCTGGAGTCAGATGCCTGTCCCATCCCTGTCCCATCCCTCATCCTTATCCTCGTCCCTTCCCCTATCTCCCCGCTCCCTTCTCCGCACCCCCCCCCCCAGCATAGTGAGGGACTCTTGGACCTAGACCAGTGAGGCAAGTAAGGGAAACAGGATGTTGTCTCTGGTAACAATGGGGAACCTCAGAGGTGGGGGGGGGGTCGGTGAAAAGGGAGGGGGGGGAGGGGCAGCAGCTGCCAGGACCTGGGTCTAGTCTTAGTTTACTCTCTACTCCCTAACCCCCTGGGATTAACTCCCCTGTCCACCTCCTTCCCACCTTCACCTGGTTTAATCCTTCCCTATGCCCATCAGCCTGCCCCAGACATTTTCTCCAAGGCAGAAAAGGAGGGGCACTGCTAAGGATTTCCTCAGCCTTTCCTGGAAAGATAACCATCCTCTCTGGCAACGGAGCTACCACAGAGCAATTCCTCCCAGTTCCTGATTTAGCCTTGTGTAATGGATCCTGCCTGCACCACCCTCACCTCTGCCCCCCACCCTCTGCTGTTGGGAAGAGGCCAGAAACTTTGAGGAAACTGGCCAAACCTCCTGTTCCTTAAAGCCAATTAAAAAAACAAAACAGGATCTGAGGGCCAACTTGTGAAGTTTGTGACCCCTGGAGTCCTCCTCCCTGGTCTTCTTCCCAGAGCCTCAGGGGTCTCTAGAATGCTTTTGGGTAATTGGGGCCATTTGTGTCAACCACAAGCACCGAAGTGCCAGTGACCGTGTGCCAGGCCTGTGTCAGTTGCCGCCGAGGACACGGGACAGATCCACGGAGAGTCAGCAGATAG